GAAGCTCTACCACCGTGCCTTCAGCATTTTTTTACCCACTAACCAACCCTAGACCAATATGGCCTTACGGAGCTCCCTGCAGACTCACACAGCCTGTTCCGTGTGTCAGGCTATAGTACGTCGGAACGTGACTTTGGTCAGACGCAATTCCTGCTCTGGCTAGAGCCATGTTCTGAAGTGCTCCCACCTTCATCGGCAACACCATTGCCAAGCAACACCAACGAGCGCACCCAATCTTGCGGATATTACAGCCGCCACACACCAGACTTTCGTATCACTCTTTCACCCCTGCGTAGTAAAACGACTACTCCAATTTAACTGCAATGAAATTCCAGGGAAATATCTACGAGATAGTCAACTTTATGAGCTGAGAGTACCTGTAGTTCGCTGTTTTTCAGGAGACAAGGCTGATTAGCCGATCAGATCTTCTGAACCATCAGAACAGATAAACGATTCGACATTCTACCCCAACAGAGTTCTGGGTAATTTCCAGACAAAACAATTACGGGTGGTGTTCTGATAAAAAGCATATCCACCTGACGATCTTTACTAAGATTAGCATCAGACCACTTAAAGATACAGGCCGACTTTTTTCCGTCGACCACGGGAAATACGTTATCTTTATAAAGGTTTCTGGCCCGGATTCCCGGAATTCACCAAGAATGCCTTCCGTGTTTTCGTCTTCAGGATTATGCAGCAATAAGATGCCTATTGGGGTGCTCCTTCCGTAACATCTTAATACGAACTACTTGCACAGCAAAGCATTATGCTGCTTAACTCGTAGCATAAATTATTCGCTGTGCAAGTGATGCTCCGGCGACATCAGAAGGTTTCCTGTCACGGAAGTGATGGCAGTGTTCTGACAAGCTTGTAACTTCTCAATCTGCGTCTCGTTCGTCCCCGGCGCGCAGATCGGAGCAAGATAGTTTATGACCGGCTGGCCACTTGCTTCATAGGTTGCCAGCAAGGATTCTTTATCCTTACCCCAGGAGCTGCCAGCTAGCGCTTTGAATATTTTGTTGCGGCTCTGGAGTTTTTCGGCAATTGCCGCTCTATGCGTTGTGAAGGAGTGCAGGCTTTCGAGTGTGACTCACAGTATCTTAGGGTTATTTATGTTCGGAATTTTCTTGTCATCGACCTTCACATCTAATTCGAGCCTGTATTCCTTCGTCTAGCTGGTAAAGAGGGTGGCTGAGGATGTAGACCACCTTACCCGTTTCAACACATCGGGTACCATAAGGGAGTCAAAGACAAATTGACAACTTTGGTGAGGAAGTCTGCTCCCGCTGGTCTGAGATGTTTTCATCGCTTCGTCTGTGTTTAGGTATTCTGTACAAGCAATGCAGAGGAAACGATATGAATTGCAAAAGCGCGAAAACCCTGTGCACGTGAAATTTTCTGTTTTGGAAATTTATTATGGCTTTTCAGTTTATTTGTATATTTTTGATACTCGAATTATATAGTCAAGCAATGAAGTTTGCTTAAATCAATAAAGCGTTAAAAAAAATGGAATAATAGTTGCTGTTATCAAACTCATGAAGGATGCAAAGAAGAAAACACAAATTTAAATGTTCATCGTAGACTGTAGCGATTGGTGTCGAATGTGTGCTCCACAAAGCGCCGGCAAATGGTGCAACATCTACTGATGGAACATCCACTCGGGAAAATTCCTCGTTTGACACTTCAGGAACTCTCTCTACATCTGTTGGCGTATTGTTGCTGCTAAAGTCGTACAGCGGCTCATAGTTATCTTCTTTAACACCAAATATAGCACCACCTGGATTTAACAGCTCTTCGAATCACATGGAATTCGCAAATTCTTCAAGAGGAGTCAATACCATATGCTTGTAACCCTCCGTCGGCTGCTTTTGACTCTTTCTTGTGGTCTTTCTTCACTTTCAATTTAAAAATAAAATGCGCATGTGTATTTTTCATATAGGTGGCCCTACTGCATAAGTTTTTGTGGCAAAAACTTCTCTTTTAAGTTGTATTGCATAACGCCTTTTTGGAAACCTCTAGTTAAGTGAGACATTTTTTTCAATTCTGCCACAAGAATCTCTAATTTAGTGATTGTCGTTAACCGCTTTATTTTCTGTCTGTTAATTTAAAGGATCGTCAGTAAAATGACTGGTGATAAGAAACGATAGAAAACGATGGCGATAACGCTGACGAGCATATCACAAAAGCGTCGTCTGAGGATATTGTTGACGATGGCGTTGAACGAGATAACAAATGTTCATATCGTCATTTTCCCTGACGATGACGATATTCAGCATAAAGCTGCAACTACCCATTTTACATACCTCACAGCCGTAATACCCGACTGGAAGAGGGATATGCATACACGAGTTATCGATGCGACGAAAAGTAGCCAGCCACCAGCTTGAATACTTTGAAACAAACAGTGAGTCAAGCCGGTTTTACCGAGAAAATCAAATCGCCGCTGGTTTCTGCAGGACAACCGTTAGTAACGGCAACGGCAAGCGGTAACAACTTTTCATTTATATGGTGCTCTCATAAGATAGGTTGCGATGGCTGGGAGGTATGTAAGATGGGTAGTTGAAGCATAAGGCCGATTAAATTTTTTCGCCGCCGTGAAACCGTAAATTTGAAATCACATACTTCACTTCAAATTTTACAACCCACCCTTTGTTGCGGTATTATTCTTTAAAAAGACATACCGATGGTTTTTATTGAGCGGTGTTTAAGTTGCATATTCTCCCTTTTCATTAGCTTGGACACCGCTAACGCGATTACAGCTAAATCAACAATAGGCCACCATTCAAATCTTCTCTTCGCTGTTCGGCGGTCTTGTTATTTTCTGCAGAAGTCGAAAGGTCAACCTGCGTGAAACCTTGTTAGGTATCCAATTATTCGCTGAAGTCCTTACCAAATCTGACTGCGTTTCTGGTATTGTCTTGCGTCAGTTTACACAGACGTATAAGTTTTGCAAGAATACAGGCAGCTCTTTGCTGTGGCGTCGAAGGCAGCTTTAAAATCGATGAAAAGGTGCTGTGTAGCGACTGTTTTCCCAGTGATCTTTTCCAAAATTTGAAGCATGGTGAAATTTTGGTCCATAGTTGGTTTTTCAAATTTTGCGATATTTAGGACGTTAATTCCACGGTAGACAGTGGAATTACTTTTTATGGAATGGGCATCGTCAGGCATTCGCCCGATCATATTCTGCAAATAAGTTGGTGGACGCATATTGTCAGCTCTTTACCGCCATTATGAAATAGCTTAGCCAGCAGGCTATCGGCTCCAGCCGTTTTGTTGTTCTTTATGCGGGAAATCGCTACTGAAACTCATAATAGCCGAAGAATGGAAGCCCTTCTTCATTGTCATCGGTTGAGGTTTCGGGCCTGAAGATTTGCTAGATTTCTATCTTTTAGTAGAATTTTCGAGTCTTTCCCTCGTCGGTCAGCTTCTCGAACTTTTCCTACTCTCGCATTTCGATCTATTTTCTCTTTCTTGTGCAAATGCGTCTTGCTTCACTCTTCAGCTCTCGGCATCTATCTTACGCGCATGTGTTGTGGTCGATCGCAAAGTGGAAGGGTAAGCAGTCTGTTTTCTCTGCACTGCCGTACGACATTCCTCATTGTTCCAGCCCTTTTTTCGACACTGCCGAAAACTAATTGTTTCTGCAGCGGTAGGACGTAAGGAGTTTGAGGTGCCATCTTAGCGAGCAGAAGGGCAAACCGAGTAGAAAACTGTTCAACTGTTTGTTGTGATTGCAGTTTTTCGTCACCGAACTTTCTTTGTGTTTGTTGATGGGCGTTTTTTGATACACAGATGTGGGTATATATCTTCGCTGTAAAAAGATAGAGTGGATGTTAGGTCCTCAAAATGTACACACATCTAGAACACTGCAGACACGTGCTCCGTTAACCTCAGTTGGATCGATTTAATGTTACCGTCTGCGGAAGTTTAGTTCTGCAAATAACCATATTTGGAGCAAAGTCGATCAGCCACATTCGTTTTGGGGATGTTTCGTCATGAAGGTCAATTTCCCGACTGTTGTACCATAAATACCTTCTTTGTTCACCCTGGCGTTAATGTCGCAAAGCACGATTTTCACATCGTGGCGTGTACGCTCCAGGCGCTCACATCGTCCTTCCCTTACGTCAAGGCGAGGGCGTAAATTAGCAACATGTTGAAAAATTTTTTTCTGATAAGGAATGTGGCGAGACGTTCATTCGCCGGATCGAATGCCAGTACTCGGCGACGAAGGTCCCGCCACTATTCGGACATCGAAGTTCACTTTTCAAATGCACACTCTAGTAAATTACTGACTTACTCGTTTCCGTCCTTGTTCCTTTCATGGTATTTCTTGGACGACGATGATATCAGCCTGTTGCTTGGCTACCCAGAGTTCACGTGGTTTGAGACCGGATGTCGTGAACTGCTCGAACCAAATGTAAAAGAATCATTTTTGGTCACTAATAGGTGAATGGGAGTCATAAACTTTTCCCATTTGTTTGAACTTCTACATATGGCCTGGCAACAAGATAAGAGAACCAAATTCAGTGCATTATTTAATCCAACTAACACACATTGCTGTATGAACAAATTGAGCACCTTTTTCTAAGTTTTGCTTGTTAAAATTTCTTAAGTGCTTAAAAAAAAATTTCTTAAGAATGAAATAAAAAACTGCTGAGAAGATTTTTGTTCAAACTTTTCAAAATAACTGGCGCTGGTTCGAAAATTTTCATTAAACTGCTCTAATACTCGCACTGCTCAAAAAAGTTCGAACAAAATATTGAGCTAAGGTATGTGGATGTATGTATGTATTTTTGTACTTATGCGATTTTCGGCCGAGCTGAGTCATGATGTTTTTTGTAACAAATGGATGAACGTAAAGTTTATGCTAAACTGCTTGCAAACGTCCCATGGACTTTTTTCTAGAACCAGGACTCGAACCTTGGCCATCCTAGTCTTAGCACTGAATGCGAATCGAATATATGCGTACCGCGTTTTTATGTGCATTCGATAAAACTCACCGGTTATTTTACTACAATTAATTAATTTAACATGAGAACTTTTTAGATTCGTACACGGTTTTTCAGACGTTGTCAATGAAGATGATGTGCTGTTATTACTGTTGTTGTTTGTTGTTATTGAGTCATATCTCTTTAAACGTTTTTCAATATCCGTATTATCATATAGATATTGATAGTTACCATCATTACTATCCTTGTCGTCATAATTATCATTAACATCACTCTCACTCAGACATGTCGCAACCTGTGCATTCGTTTGAAAATAGGAACTTTTACTGCTTTGTTCGTTATCACAAATGTAATTTGATTTGTTAATTATTTTGTGATTAACAATACTGCTGCATTTATTGTAACACACTTGGTTATCCTCACGTGCTTCACTTTTACTACCATTACCACCATTTTTTTTTTGCCTATCATTAATTTTTGTTCTTGAAATTAGATTTGTCATTTGTTGAGGATAATATTGTTGCTGGTCTTTGTGTCGAATATCATGATTAGATTTAGATGACATGCTGAAGTCATTGATATTTTGATTATTCATCAATTCCAATTCACTATACTTCACGTTATCTCTATGCTGACCGAGAGCTTGTTTCATTGCATTATTTAATTTGAGTTCCCCGTAAATTCTCGTAAACGTGCAAAGCCGATCTCCGGTGGTCATATCGGGCATGATTTTTGCTACAGTAACTTCTGCTTGCTTACTGTTCACATCAGGTGAATTATTTATTTTGTATATTTTTTTGTCATATCCATCTGCAATAGGTTTTTGCAAGTCATCAGATTCGTTAAAATACTCTTCTCTGCCGGATTCATTTACGTTGCTTTCCATATCAATAGTAACTTTGGAATCAGTTGAAGTTTGCTCCAAAAAATTGTTCACTTTACATATGTGCTGCATAGAAAAAGCATGCTGCGGAATATTCACTTGTGGGAGCTGGAAAAAATTACAATCTTCCAACCCCATTCCAGTATTGGTATTTATAGTCACATGACCATCCGCTAGGAAGTTTATACATTCTTTATTACCGTATGGTTTGGTAGATTTCGATATGTTTTTATGTAGTACCCCAAAATCTCTGTTAATTTGTGAAGCATCCTCATAGTTACTATCATCTGAAACTGCGGAAAAACGTTGGTTGCGTGACTTCTTATCTTTTGCGCGACAATTCTGGAACCAAACCTAATGAAATACAATAAAAAGTAAATATAATAAAAAAATAAATATGTATAATAATAATTATATAAGGAGTTTCAATGACGTGTAATTATGTTGAAAAAATGTGTACCCTGTAGTTAAAACCCAAACTAATATGCAAAAATGCTATAGTTCTGTTCGTTGATTAGATGAGAAGTAGCAATTCTTCTTTTTTTTTAAGTCCTCTTTCAGCGAACGACAACCAAATTCTGAAAGTTGCTCATCATACCGGTCCTCCTACATAATGAAGAAGCGTGGATAATGTAAACATCTAATGAGTCGGCCCAGGGAGTCTTCAAGAGAAAGGTTTTACGAACAATTTATGGTCCTTGGCGCATTGGCAACGGCAAATACCGCAGACGATGGAACAATGAGCTGTACGAGCTATATGATGATATAAGCAAGGTCCAGATAATGAAGAGACAGCGGACACGCTGACTAGGTCATGTCGTCCGAAGGGATGAAAGCAGTATAGCTTTGAAAATATTCTATGCAGTACCCGCTGGTGGAAGCAGAGGAAGAGAAACACCTGCACTCCGTTGGAAAGATCACTCTCCACCTGATCTTTCCAACGGAGTGGACTTCATTAAGTATTTCAAACTCGCGTCAGACAGCGAAAAGAAGAGACGAATGGCTAATATTGATTCGGCTATAATTGCGTAAGCTTCGGCAACACCAATAAAGAAGAAGAAGAACAATTTTTACTGAAATTCACTGAATCGTGTTCCTTGAGCCAAGAAGAAGAAAATTGCAAATTCATGCAGGGATAATTTTAGCAGGTAAAAGCTTCCAAGTATGAAAAACAACTGATTTCATGATTCATATGTTTGAATTTCTGTTAACAAACCAAAATTTATTTAATATAAAAATAAAATTAAATGTTTGATATGAATGATAAACTAACACAAAAAGTGCCCAAATATATTATTTTTTAAGTAATTTAATGATATTAACGATTCAGTTAAATAGTTAAGATACACGTTAAATGAGAAATTGGTGACAATGAAGTGGAGTCACTGCACACCACCCAGCTTATGTTGTGAAATTAGAAGTTAGGTAAACTGAAGGCATATATTATCAGGTGTACAACTTTGCTTCCGCCATTTTCCGATAGGTGGCTGTACCGGCTGAGGCTGGTTGAAATAGATAGATGATAATGCCTTTGAAGTGAGTGTGGACAGTGCCTAATGAATTGTCATCGCCGTTTCAGTGACAGTTGTTCTTGTTTTCGTATTATTCACGCTCGAAAATGTCCGTTTAAGTGCCTAACTCTCGCCATTTGCGCGAAAATTTACTTTTCTGTTTCAATTTGTAAAAAAAAAACACAGGTGAAGCGCATCAAATGCTCTCAGAAACTTACGATGCTGCTCAGAGTGAAAGAACGTTTCGGGAGTGGTTTCAACGTTTCGAAGACAAACATGGTGGTGGAAGAGAAAAAAACTTCAAAGATGAACAACTAGAAGCATTGCTTGATGAAGATTCATGCCAAACCCAAGAACAGCTTGCCGAATCGTTGGGAGTAAGTCAGCAAGCCATTTCAAAACGTCTCAAGGCCCTGGGCATGATTCAGAAAGAAGGAAACTGGGTGCCGTACGAGTTGGAGCAAGGGACATCGAGCGCCGACTATGTTTATGTGAGCAACTGCTTCAAAAACAAAATCGTAAGGGGTTTTTACATCGAATCGTAACCGGTGATGAAAGTCGGGTTCGATACGATAATCCTAAACGCAGAAAATCATGGGAAAAGCCCGGGCATGCTTCTTCGTCGAAAGCAAAACAGAATATTCACGGCGCCAAGGTTATGATTTGTATTTGGTGGGATCAGCTCGGTGTGATTTACTACAAGCTCTTAAAACCGGGTGAACCCATCACAGGAGATCGCTACCGAACGCAACTGATGGGCCTTAGTCGCGCTCTAAAAGAGAAGCGGCCACAATATCAAGAGCGGCATGACAAAGTCATCCTCCAACACGACAATGCTCGGCCTCACGTCGCAAAAGTGGTCAAAAAGTACCAGGAAAACCAGCTGAAATGGGAAATCTTGCCCCACCCGCCGTATTCCCCAGATGTCGCCCCATCTGACTTCCACCTATTCCGTGCGATGGCGCACGGCCTGGCAGATCAACATTTTCAATCCTTCGAAGAATTGGAAAAATGGATTGCTTCATGGATAGTGTCAAAAGAGGACTCCTTTTTTCGGGCCGGGATCCGAAAATTGCCGGAAAGATGGGAGAAAGTTGTCGCTAGCGAAGGACAATACCTTGAATAATATATCTGTAAGTACTTTTTCGTAATAAAACTTTTAATTTTTTAAAAAGACGGCGGAAGCAGAGTTCTAAACCTAATATTATTTTTTGTACTATGAAAATTGATTTTGTATTCCTAACATTAACCAGACAGCAGTGATGGGGTGTAGTCAATCTTTTGGGTATGCTGTTACAGTTGCGAGGCTATACTCAATTCCTTCACTTGCGTCCTCGACGCGCATCCTAAAAACGTGAGCAACCCTTGTGTAAGATGCGGTAACCAACTCTTGTGGATAAGAGAGCTTCATTGGGGCCACTACGACTTATTCGAGTTAAGGGTCTGCTGAAGTCTAATTGCAGCGGCTGTTCACCAGAGGTGCGGCTGCAAGCGAGCGTCGGTTTTGAAGCAAGCGACCCGCTATATAAATGTGGTGCGCTGGGCTTGCAACGCCTCGGATAAGATATCCCCTTTTGTTGACGACCCCGGCAAACGAATTAAGGATCACGATTTCAGGGCATGCACCTGGAAAGTCTGGTCCCTTAATTGGGAAGGTGCCGCTGCTCAGCTGGTAGATATCCTCGTAAGAATGAAGGCCGACATCACCGCCTTCCAAGAAGTGCGATGGACGCGACAAGAACGAAAGCGAGTAAGTTCTTGTAACATTTACTACAGCGGCCATACAAACGAGCGCTAAATTTGGTGTCGGATTCAAGGTGGTAGAGAGACTACGTCGTCGGCACACAATGGTGGATGAGCGTCTCGCCATAGTCCGCGAATTTTTTCTATATATGGTTAGTTTGCGCCCACACCCCGACGGAAGAGAAGGACGGTCTGGCCAGAGATCCCTTTTATGAGAACCTAGAGCACACTTGCGAGCGCTGCCCCCTGGTGGGCAAAGATTTTCTACTCGACTTGCACTCCTGCTCTATGAGAGCAGTCATGAGCAACTCGGTATCCGGTACCTGTAGGACGGCATCGCAAGCTCCCTACGTACAGCTGCAAAAGAAGCTACTGGATTTCGTTAAGATCGCAAAAACAGCTTGTAACATGACTGCCGTGTCGCAATGGAGAGAAAACAGACCGCCTACCACGCAACCTTGCGGTCGACCACAACGCGTGCAAAATGGGATAGATACAGAGAGAAGAAAAAGGAAGCAAGACGCATCTGCAGGCAAAAAAAGAGAGGCAGAGAGTGAGCCCGAGACCCGAATCGATAACAATGGAAAAGGCGTGGGACCCCACACTTTGCGGCAATTACTGAGGGATAAGCTTCCTTAATATCGTATAAAAGGTATTATAGAACGTATTGTGTGAAACACTAAAACCCACCGTCAACAAACTGCCTTTAGACCTCGTAAGTCAACCATTGACCAGATATTCACCACACGCCAAATCTTGGATCGACAGCCACAGCCACTTCGTCGATTTTAAAGCCGGCCTCGATAGCACGAATAGATGCTATCTTTACGCCGTTATGCCTGAATTTGTTATCCCCGCAAAACGGTTGTGCAAGCTGACGCTAGGCAACATAAGAAGCACCGTCAGAATTGGGAAGGACCTCTCCGAGCCGTTCGATACCAAACGAGGTTTCAGACAGGGTGACTCCTTGTCGTGAGATTTCTTTTTGATGCTGAAGAGAATAATAAGAGCTGCAGAGCTGAATAGAGAAGGTACAACCAGCTGTAAGAGTGTTCAACTACTGGCGTACGCAGATGATATTGACATTAACGGCCTCAACAACCGCCCCGTTAGATCTGCTTTATCCAGGCTTGATAAAGAAGCGAAGCGAATGGGTCTGGTAGTGACCGAGGGTAAGACGAAATATCTACAATCAAACAAACATCGCATTCCCGACTTGGCTCCAACGTCACTGTTGGCAGTCATAACTATGAAGTCGTAGATAATATCGTTTATCTGGGAACCAGCATTAACACCAATGATAACGTCATTTTGATATCTAGCGCAGAATCGTTCTTGTCAACGGGTTCTACTTTAGACTGACGTATGAAAACCAAGTCTACAAGTCCCTCATATGGTGAGGAAGCATGGACGATGACAACATCTGATGAGTCGGCTTTAGGAGTTTTCGAGAGAAAGGTTTTGCGTAAGATTAGTGGTCCCTTGCGCATTGACAACGGCGAATACCGCCGCATTAAAAACGGCGAAGGAACGATGAGATGTACGAGTTATACGGCGTTATTGACATAGTTCAGCGAATCAAGAAGCAGCGGCTACGCAGGCTAGGTCATGTGGTGCGGATAGCTGCGAGTAATCCATCTTTAGATATGTTCGATGCAGTACCCGCCGGTAGCAGAAAAAGGGGAAGAGTTCACTCCGTTGGAAAGACCCGGCAGAGAAGGACCATGCTGTACTTGGTATTTCCAATTGGCGCCAAACAGCAAAAAGAAGAAACGAATGGCGCATTGTTGTTAAATCAGCTAAAATCGCGTAAGCGGTGTCTACGCCAGTAAGGAAAGTAAGTCAGTGTCGGCCAAATGAGTTATGAAATTCGTTGACGCAAATTATGAATTTGTTCAAAAGTGTGCAAACACACTGGCAGCTGGCAACATTTCGCCGCTCTCAGCAGCGTCGATAACTCGTGTATATATCTCGCCTTGGCGTCGCCACTTATGGACGGCTGGTAAGGGAAATGGGTAGTTGCAGCCATAGCCTTTACTTGGGAAAATAAGGCTCCTGCTTGACTTTTGCTCAAGCAGAATCGAATCGACGGCTATAAAGA